GAACTACAGAGCAAAGAAGTTGCAACAACAAAGGCCTGCAACAGCCACATACAAATATAATAATGGCATTTGTAGCTGTGGAGGAAACGGCAAAGGTTGATGCCATCCTTGGAGGTGCCCATAAGGCAAACGTCGCTCCCGCATCTGAAGTTTGCCTGCTGTTAAAGGGGCTTAAGGAAACGGCTTGGTTTATGGACAACGGGTAGACTCAACATATGACGCACTGAGCTGATTAGCTACACAACTACCGGGAATATGGAGTCCCGTACGTCCTACTCGGGGATGAAGGGAAATTTCCAGTCCAAGAAGAATGGGACCTGATTCTGCAAAGCCCCTATGGGAAGCTGCAAATGGACAATGTTCTACTTGTGGAGAAGCTGTCACGAAACCTGATGAGTCAAATGCAACTCGACAGCAGTGGCTGCAAGACCTTAAGTGACAACTGAAAGCTTTGGGGTTTCGATCCCAACCGGAAACTGACGGCAGAAGGCGTACGGACTCAAATATTGTATGAGATGAAGCTGAAGGAGCAACGTGCAGAATAGATTACCAATCAGACAAAACCTGAAGAAGGGAAGAAAGCCCGAGTAGAGCTACATACCATGCAGGAAAAAATTGCAGTGACTGGACTGCATCACGTAAAGTTTCCCATGGCAGCAGCGGCAGAAGCAGTTGGCATCAATCTTCTGCTCAAACGGATGGGGCACGAAAGCACTAAACAGATCAAGGAAATGATGAAGAAAAACATGGCAGCGGGAGTAAAGGTGAATGATGCTAAGAAAACCCATACGAAATGCGACTCATGTGTCGAAGGAAATGCCACAAAGTTTCCTTATCCAAGACATGGACCGAAGGAGCGGTATGGGGCAATGGAAGTAGTGGCAGCGGACGTATGTGGTCCTATGGGTCACATCACGACATGGCAGTAGATACTTCCTCACATTCACGAACATCGGCATACGACTCACATGGGTGACGGAAGTTAAAAGAACTCAAGTTTTACCAAGTTTCATTGATTGGTTGGCGGAAGCTGAAAGGTGAAGCAGCAAGCTGTTGAAAAATCTCTGGACCAGTAACAATGGGGAATTCATCAACAAGGACTTCAACGACTACATGAATGCTAAGGGAATACAAAGGCTGCATGTAATTCCCCATACCCCTCAACACAAGAGTATTGCGGAGCGGGTGAATAGGACGCTACTCTACAGCGTGCGAGGCAAAACGGCAGAAAGCAAGCTGCCCCTGACCTATTAGGGGGTTGCGCTAGGCATGGCCTGTTGGCTGAAAAATCGCCTACCGATGAAAGGACTTGCAGCGGACATGACACCTCATGAAGCATTCTACGAAGGGAAGCCTAACCTGAAGTTTCTTTAGGTATGGGGTTGTATAACGCAGTACTGGCTCCATGCTGGGGCTGATTGCAAACTTCGCCAAGAGCACAATGGGGGGAACATGCCCGGAGAGCAAAGGCTGGATTATCAAAGATGTGGAGACCGGGATTGTGCTGGCAACCAGAGACGTTACATTCTACGAAAATGTTAACTATGTGAACTGGAAGGCGGGCAACAAGGGAAGAACCCCCGGGACAAAACACCTGCCACACCTCTACGTCAATAGCATTGATCACCAAGGAAAGAAGAAAGACCTACAACCTGCCACAAGAACCCTTGAGCATCCAGGAAGCAGTTTCCTGCCCACACAAAGAGCAGTAGAAGGCGGCTATACAAGAAGAGTTGGGTGCTTTCGCAGAGAGAGGCATGTGGAAACTAATCCAAATGCCTGAAGGGAGGCACGCCGTTGGCGTCAAGTGGATTTTCAAGATAAAAACAAGGGATATGGAGTAGCTGGAGATGTTCAAAGCACGCCTGGTGGCAAAAGGACACACGCAAGTGGAGGGGATTGACTACAAGCACACGTATGCACCTGTTAGCATATTGAAAACAGCAAGGACACTCTTTAAGATCGTTGCGGCACGCAACTACATCATGGTACAGCTCGACATCAAGAATGATTTCCTCTACGATGAGCTATAAGAGGACAATTACATGGATCAGCCAACAGGTTTTGAGGACGGAACTGACAAAAAATGCAAGCTACTGAAACAATGCCATCGAGAATGGTATGGGGCTATTGATGCGGCTGCTCAAAGGAGGCTTTCATAAAAGTCAGTGTGATTGAGCATTTTACTGGAAAGGTGAAGGGGAGGAGAAAGTGTACCTCCTGCTCTACATCCATGACATCTTCGTGGCTAGAGCTTTGGAGGACAGAGTTGAGGAGGTGTGTGCTCACCTTGCAGCTGTCTTCTAGGTGAAGCAGATCCAGAGACCCACGTTGTTCCTTGGCATGAATCTGGAGCAGGACAGAGAGGGAAGGAAGCTGCTACTTACTAGAAGAAATACATTCCAAGGCTGCAAGATAGGTTTGGGACACATGGCTGCACCAAAACAATGACAACTCCGCTCAGCAGCCTTTCGGAGAAATATATTAACCCTGAAGAAATACTCATCGAATGGGGCAGCAAGGAGCGAGCATTGAAGGCCTACCAGTCACGGGTCGGATCAGTGATGTACACTGCTCTTGTACGCGGGTAGATGTCGCACATGCTGCCAGCTTCTTAGGGCAGAACGTGCTCCAGCTAGAAGACCGCAAATGGAAGGAGATGCAGCGCACAATCACTTATTTGCAGCAATGGGGAAAAGAGGGGCTGCTATACGAAGGTGGAGAAGAAACAATGGAGTCAATTGGCTACGCTGATGCATAACATGCATCAAAAAAGAAGACATAGAAGGGTGCCTATGGATACGTCTTCCTCCTTGGTGGGACAACAATGCCATGGCAAGGGAAGAAGCCTAGCGACATTGCAAGGAGTGTAGCTTAGGCGTTTGCGGCAAGAAATGGGGGTACCTGTACAAGGATCAACAACCATGAGAACGGACAACTAGTCGGCCACGGCATTGGCGAGATACGACAACTTGCACGGACGCACTAAGCATATGGACATAAAAAATTATTGGGTGAGTGAACAGCTCGAGAACAAGACATTTACCTTTGAGTTCGTACGTACACAAGATCAGGCAGCCGACTTTCTTACTAAGGTCCTTCCAAAGGCAAATTTCGAACTGTGCAAGTATCATGTCGGGGTGCGTACCTTGCAGGACTTACAGGGGAGAAATGAGGTGCAGGAAGAATGATGAAGATTTCAGATATAGGGTTAGCAGTGGCTAGCATGGAGGAGCAGCCAACCATATGCAGAGGTTGACGCCGACTTGGGCGTGCAGGTCGACAGGGTGGTCGACCTGCAGGCGACCATTGCGATGACGCTGACGATGAGAGCTGGCCGCCTACTTCGACGGGGAGGTCAACGAAGGTGTTCGTTGACCTACGCGAGACTATTGAGGGGCCGTTGACGATGGATGTTTGACGGCATCAGATGACCGAGTTGGTTGACGGAGGGGTCTGTCGACCGGGGTGGTATTCGACGGGAGCAGTGGTCGACGAGGGAGGTCATCAATAAGGGCGCGGGGTGGTTGACCCGGTCGACCAAGTTACCTCTTCGACGAGGTTTTGCAGATGCATGCGAGGCTCGTCGAGGTTGCGATGGCGAACGCGACCTCATGCTGGTATCGCAAGGTCGGCGTGGAGCTTCTAGCGCTATTGTCGACACGTGGCCGACTTGGCATCTGCACGATGGTAGAGAACGTGCTCGACCGTTGCTCCGCATCTGCGAAGTAGGTGCGCACATGCGCTATTGTCACTAAGGGTGCATCGTTGGCACGCCACTCTGCATCAGCGTTGGCAAATTGCCTCGTTGCTTTGTTGGCAGGCTGCGGACTTGCTCTATTGGCGGGCCGCTCTTTCGCAACGTTGGCGGAGTGCCTCTGCGCAATGTTGCCAGACTATCGACCATGATGCGCTGGTGGTCGACCAGCTTGCCGGCTAGGTTGCTAAGCTTTGATGTAGTCATTTGTGCCATAGCTCGTTTTCTGAACCCCAACTTTGCTAGTGAAACCCTTGCCAATTCTTGTGAATATGTGTGTAGAGAGAGCAAAAGCTAACGCCAAGGAATGCTACGATCAGTCATAGAGCCCGTGGATTCCCCCGTCGTCTAGCTCCCAATGTAGAGTGAATCTCCGCAGCTACAAGATGATGAGAAACAGTTGGAATAAATAAGGGTTTCAGGAGAGAGAGAGGAGAAGATGTTCTAGATCGCCAGAATTTTCCCAACCATCCTAGAGGCGGTGTTTAGCGGAATTGAAGAAATTCGGTTTCAACGACGGTTTAGTTCGGTAACTAAAATGTTTGTTAGCAAGGATGCCTCGTCTTCACTCACATACAACGCCGAAGAGGCCGCCGTGTCTTCCGGCCAGGCCAAGAGCCATTGGCAAGCCCATGTCGTCGTCTGGAGCCAATCCAGGCTCATCATTACAATACCCTCCGCATTCGTCGGCAAAAGCGTCTGGTAGCTCACCGTCGCAAACGTCACCTCCAGTCGTCGTGATGTCGTCTGGCATGATGCACGAGCTTCTGGAGTGTCCCATCTGCACCAACTCCATGTTCCCTTCCATTCATCAAGTGACCTTACCTTTCCATTGTTGAACTTTACTTTAAATGTGGAAACCAATTTTTAGGGCTTGCTGGATACAAATCGTAATGAGCCTTTAACTTTCAATTTTGTTTGTCTTTCCTTGCAGCGTTTTCACATTAGCCTTGAAGCTCTATTGTGAATCGGTGGGAGGTAGCAAACTGCGGTTTCGCTCCTTTGAATAAACTGAACCGCGTTACCCAATGTTCTGGCTGATTGTTTTGACCTCTCGATTAAGCACCTATTTTCTCAATTTCTCACACTCCCAAGACGTTTCAAGCCTGACCAGTAACTCAGCCTTGCAGCGTGCCCTATAATGTGAATCTAAACTTCCACCAACCCTTTCCACCCGCACAATGTCCCAATCGCCATACGCTCTCCACCCCGAACCCCCTAATAGTGCCCCAACGGCCACACTTTATGTTCGCACTACAAGGCGCGCGTGCACAACCGCGAGGACAGGACCCCCAGAGGGGTCTGCCAGAGAGACTACAACAGACCGACCAAGCGGCGTGAGAGTGGTGCGGTCTCGAAAGAAGGAGCGAGAAGCCCCCGAGTCAAGGGTGAAGGTGAGGGAGGCCGAAGCCGACGCACTACCTGAGAGAGCAGACTCACCAGCACCTAAGGACGCAGACGCACTAGCACCTAGAGCAGCACCCTCGCTAGCACCTAGAGCAGCAGCCTCACCAGCACCTAGAGCAGCAGTCTCAATGCCCGGGTCGGGCAGAAAACACCGGTAACAGTCACCCTCATCACTACTAGTCACAGCATACATGGCAGCAAGAATAGCATCAAAGTCAAGGTCAAAGACAGCTACTCCCGCCCTAGACAGCTCACCCCAGCAGGGGATCTCAGTGGCCTCCGGGAACTGGTGACGCCAAGCGTCCGTCAGGCGGCCAAAGCAGCGCTGGGTGGAGTGCGCACCCCCGCACTGCTCACCCGCGCGGTCGCTGGTGCGTAGGACGTAGGTGCACGGACCAGCCCCCCCACCCCGCTGGCGTGCAGCGTACCACTCACGGAGCTGCTGAGGGGGGGGGATGTCACGAGTGCGCTGCTGCTGCTCCTGCTGCTGGCGCTAACCACTACCGGAGCCGACCCTCTGCGCAGCGCCACCCCGACCAGCTCCACCTCCTCCGCCACCGCCTCCTCCACCGCCGCCACCTCCGCTACCTCCGCTCCCGCCGCCACCGCCGCCTCCTCCTCCGCCTTCACTGCCGCCACCTCCACCTCCACTCCCGCAGCCACCCCGACCGCCACCCCCACCCCCTCCGCCGCCTCCACTGCCGCCTCCACCGCCCCCGCTAGCTCCTCCAGCGCCCCTGCCCCCTTTCCCCTTGCCAGGGCGGCGCTTCCCGCTAGGGGTAGACGCCACACCGACCGACTCCAGACCAACGAGGTCGGCCGCAGCAGCAGAGGCAACAGAGGGCAAAAGGGGGGAGGGGGAACACCCCTCAAAGATGGGGGTGTGAGGGTCACCACGAGAGGCTCCTACAGCTACTATGCTCTTCTGTGCCGCTAGGAGGGCCTTCTCGAGGAGGTCAACGGTGAGAGTGGTGGGGCAAACTGAGAGGAAGTGGTCTTTGACTACGCGAAGGGAGTCAGGGAGCCAGGTGACTATGTAGTAGAGGGTGATGTACATGGGGGGTGGGTTCTTGGCGCAGAAGTCAGCAGGAAGCGCAGCGCGGTAGCGAGTGTCACTATTGCGGAGGTGCGTAATGAGGTCAGCGACTGTGGGAAAGGCAGCAAGGTCAAGGAAGAGGTACGGTAGCATGAGGCGGCTCAGTGCAGCAGTGGCAGGGGAGGAGTAGCGTGCAACTACAGCGTCGTACAAGGTCTGAGCACTCTTGTACTGGCTTAAGTGTGCACGCTCAGTGGTCGATAAGTGGCGACGCACACCAAGACGAGCAGCAGCATCGCGTGTGGCCCACTGTGAGCGAACAGTGGCGTCAGCATCAGCAGCAGGGGCAGGAGAGGCACCAAAAGTGAGGTCAAAGAGGGAGAGGCCGTCTGCCCTATCGCACTAGAGAAACAGCTGGAGGTCATCAACCCAGACCTCAAAGTCAATGGCACGGCCCTTAGCATCAAAAGTAAGGACACTAGGGGTAGCCATGATAGCAGTGGCCTAGTAGGGAGTGAGCTCACCAGTCCAGGGAAGGAGGGCCGGGGCGCACCGGTAGGAACAGCAGCGGCTCCTCAGTAGGGCGGCTCGGTGGCTCGGCAGCTCGGCGGCAGGGCGGCTCGGCTGCTAGGCGGCTCGGCTGCTGGGCGGCTCGGCGGCAGGGCGGCTCGGCTGCTGGGCAGCACGGCTCCTGGGCGACTCGGCAACTCGGCGGCTGGGCGGCTCGGCTGCTGGGCGGCTCGGCTGCTGGGCGGTCCGGTTGCCGGGCGGCTCGGTTCCTGGGCTGCTCGGCTGTTCGGCAGGTGGGCGGTTCAGGGCCGTAGGCGGCGTCTGCGTGGCCGCAGGTGGCGGCGGCGGGGCCGCTGGTGGCGGTGACGGGGCCGCCCGTGGCGGCGCCGGGGCTGTAGGGGGGCCTAGACGGGGCCGCGGAGGGGCCTTAAGGGGCCCGGGCGGGGCCGTAGCGGGGCCGTAGCGGGGCTGTAGTGGGGCCGTAAGGGGCTTGGACGGGGCCGCGGAGGGGCCTTAAGGGGCCTGGACGGGGCCGTAGCAGGGCCGTAGCGGGGCCGTAAGAGGCCTGGACGGGGCCGCGGAGGGGCCTTAAGGGGCCTGGACGGGGCCGTAGCGGGGCCGTAGCGGGTCCGTAGCGGGGCCGTAGCGGGGCCGTAGCGGGGCCGTAAGGGGCCTGGATGGGGCCGCGGAGGGGCCTTAAGGGGCCTGTACGCGGCTGTAGCGGGGCCGTAGCGGGGCCGTAGCGGGGCCGCAGTGGGGCCGTAAGGGGCCTAGACGGGGCCGCGGAGGGGCCTAGATGGGGCCGTAGCGGGGCCGTAAGGGGCCTAGACGGGGCCGCGAGAGGGCCGTAAAGGCGACGCGAGGGGCCTTAAAGGGCCGTAAGGGGCGACGCAAGGGGCCGTAGAGGGCGGCGCGAGGGGCCGTAAGAGGTGGCGCGAGGGGCCATAATGGCGGTCAACGGGGCCCTGAGAGGGGCCACTAAGGGCGGCTCGAAGGTAGGGAGGGCACACAGAGCGCGACTCGGTGTAGAGTGAAGCGCGCCCCGGGCATGGAAAAAAAAATTATCGTGGTGGGCCCTAGGTAGCGTTCCCACTAGGGAACCTGCTCGATACCATGAGAAGAAACGAGAATGGATCAACTATGAAAGAGTTGGGTACAAGTACTAACCCTAATTGGGTTGTACCCCTTATGGGCTACCCCACTACAGCCTACACAAAATGCATAAGCTATGATGTTCTGACATGCCCCACGTGCCGCTACGAGCTGGGCAACAATCGCTGCCTCGCGCTCGAAAAGGTCGCCGAGTCCCTCGAACTCATCTGCAAGCACCACACACTCAGCTGCCTGCAAATTCTCCCCTACTACTGCAGGGTGAAGCACGAGGCATTGTGCGAGTTTCGCCTGTACTACTGCTCTTACGCGGGGTCGAAGTGCGCGGTGACGGGGGATGTGCTGGCGCTAGTGGCGCATCTAAGGGATGATCATAAGGTGGACATGCATAATGGAGGCACGTTCAGCCATCGCTACGTGAAGCAGAAGCCGCAGGAGGTCAAGAACGCAACGTGGATGCTTACGGTGAGTGAGAGTGTGTGTGTGTGGGTGAGTGATTTAGTGAGTGACTGAGTGAGTGAGTGAGTGAGTGAGTGAGGAAGTGCATGACTGTGTGGATGGATGATGAGTGGATTACATGGTTTGTGTGGATGTGGGAGTGTCGTGGGGCGTGTCATGGTATTTAGTGTTGCGATTCCGTTGCTCATTGCTCTTCTCACAACTAGGAGGCAGCGAAGGAGCTGGGCCTGGGGACTGGCTATCCTCATCCCATCACATGGAGCCTCGATATGAGAGTGCCGATCGACATAAGACGCGACGTTCATAGGCACAAATGAGATAAAAGTGCGAGGAGATGAAGACCGGCGAGTGGTACCGCTTCTCCTCTCACGATGATAACCACCTAATATCACCTTTCCGCCACCTTTAGTGGCTCGCCAAACTGCGCGATTACGGACATCCAATCTCGCTTGACACTAACAAAGGGAGGGGATCCATGTTGACTGCGGACGATTTCGGTAGGACGTGGGACGATGCTAGGTCTCCAAACGGCGGATGTGGATAGTGGGTGCTAGGCCGGACACGGGCAGAGAGGCTTGCCAAACTGCGCAATTACGGACATGCAACGCGTTTCTCTTACAAGGTTGAGGATGCCCGTCTCCTTAGCCATTGGGATATGCGAAAGGCAATGCTTGCTCAAACTGGAAGCCAGTGTGTGGCATGTTCAAGTCCCATGCCCAAAGTCTAATACACGAGCTCCACAAACCTTCAAAGGGGAAGGCGCTAAGATTGAAAGGGTTGAGTGGAGTACATGGTTTGTGAGTGGATGTGGGAGTGTCATGGGGCGTGTCATGGTATTTAGTGTTGCGATTTCGTTGCTCATTGCTCTTCTCACAACTAGGAGGCAGCAAAGGAGCTGGGCCTGGGGACTGGCTATCCTCATCCCATCACATGGAGCCTCGACATGAGAGTGTCGATCGACATAAGACGCGGCGTTCATAGGCACAAATGAGATAAAGTGCGAGGAGATGAAGACCAGCGAGTGGTACCGCTTCTCCTCTCACGATGATAACCACCTAATATCACCTTTCCGCCACCTTTAGGTTTCCCTGTTACAATGTTTGGGAACCAACTGTACAGTACTACAGGTGCCTTCCTCTTCTGTTTGTTTATTCCAAGTGCTCAAACTCACACAATTTCCACCCACTTTCCGCTCTTTTTTCTTCGAATTCCCTCCAAGTCTGTTCCCTTACAGTCGTAGATCAGCAATCTGTCTATGGGAATCGAATCTCAAACTCGTGCCTCGAAACTTCTCCCAACTCTCTCCCAATCTATCCCTTACAGGCGGACTCGTAGACCAAGCTTCATTCACCGGGCTGCACTTGTCAACAGGAGTTGTGGTTGGCCCCGTCCTCACTTGGGCGAAGCCGACCTCGTGGTCGGGTGTGCGGGAGGTGCAGCCGACCTGCAGCAGTGGGCGATGTTGACTTGGGCGTGCTGGTCAACAGGTGTGGGTGACCTGCAAGAGGCCACTACCACAATGCCAATGATGGGGATCCAGCGGTCGAACAGTCCCGTTGGTCGAAGAGGGTGGACGCCGACTGTGGGAGGCGCCGACGTCGACCTGGACAGAGGAGCTGGATGGCGCCGAGTGAGGGCGCCGAGTTTGCGAGTCGACCGGAGGTGGTCGTCGACTTGGGTGGTCAACGGGCACATGAAGGAGGTGCTGTTCAACGAGGTGGTTGCCTCGTCGACCAGGTTACCCGGGCGACGGGTTTTGCGGAGGCACGCGACAGTTGCCCAGGTGTTAGTGTCCAAGCCAACCTCAGTGTGGTATCCCGAGGTTAACGTGGCTAATCAGGAGCAGTCGACAGCACGAGGACGATCTGGTGTGTGCGCTGTATAGGTGACAAGAAACAACCCGCCAATCATCTACGAGCACCTACGAAGCGGGTCCGCTGCTGTCCTACGGATGCAATGCTGTGCAGCCGGCTTGCTGCAGCGTTGGCACGCCGTCGACTTGCAGTGTTGGCGGGCCGCAACTTTGCACTGCTGGAGTGCGGTCGACCATGTCATGCTGGATCGCGATCGACCGTTCCACACTGGCAGTCGTCCTGCTTGCATGCTAGCTCTGATGTAATCAGTCTTGCAAACTTTGTTGCTATTATTCTGAACCATTGTTGTCTTGTTTTTTTCCTAGTGAAACTCTTGCCTATTCTCCCTTCCAACTAGCAAATAGTGTGAACACTTGGAAACGACTAAGAAACGAACGAACGTAGAGATCCCTCCCACCCCATGCCTAGCCTGTAGTTTAGCTCCCGTTGATTGAGTTATCTCCGCATGGTGCGATGAGCGAGGACGGCACATGACTTACCTTTCAATCTAGTCGACTTAGTGGCCACTTACCTAATTCGTGTTCGTAGGCCAGCAGCTGTGCGTTAGTCACCACAATGGTTGGCGTAGGTGACACTAGCGGTGCAGAAACCTTAGAGGCACGGCTCGAGGATTCGAGGAGACGCCATGAGGAGCGCGAGTACGGGGATATCCCCTGGGCGGTCGTCGAGGCTAGCATCTGCGCCATGTGGGCGATGGAGCACCCTTCTTGACCTGCTTCTCCTCGACTGGTAAACAATGAGAGCGGCGTCGACGTGGACGCCGGTGATCAAGTCGGTAGCACTGCGGGAGGCACGTCAAGGCAGCGAGGTGTGATTCATGTCGATGAAGTCGGTGGCGTTCAGACACGAGTGATACGGTCGTTGACGGCTGCACGGTCCTCGCAAGGCGACGTTGGTGGTCAACGAAGCTGATTGATGTCGTCGTCGGTGACACACGTGACAGCGGGAGGGATAGCGCCGAGCTACGGTTACTTCAAGTTTACGCCGGACAGAATCTTGGTAACCCCCTGCTGGTCGGTCGACATGACATTCTCATGTGGAAGGAAGCAATTGAGCCTCAGCTGGAGATGGCCGGGGTCATGGGCTTTGGCGCAGACATTGTGGCGACGCCGTTGGAGAACTACTTTGACCTGCATGCAGAGTTTCGCGTTGTGCAGACGCTGACCTTCAATGTCATCTCGCGGTGCTGCTCGCCAGGCGTGCAGATCGCCCTGAAGTTGTGCAAAGACTACTTGGACGCCGGCCACCAGGCATGGCACTTCATCGAGTCAACTTACCAGGTCATCGACAACCTGTACATTGGCCAGCTTGAGGAGCAGATGACGCATCTGCGAATGGGCAACCAGGAGACTGCAGCCGACTACTACAACCGGGCTCGGCGACTTCTTGCCACCATGAGGATGTCTGGTGTGCAGTACTCGACGGCGTCGTGCGCCACCCATATCCTGGACGGCCTCCCGAGTAGCTACACCCTGATGAAGCGGGTGTCGGTGGTGCCGAGCACGCGGGCGACGCTCAATAAGGACTCCTTGACCTTGTACATCTTGCGTGATGAGGCGATGCAGGAGGCTGAGCGGTCCTTGGAGCTCCTGCCGCAGGTGAACTACGTCGCTCCGACGAAGCAGGGAGGCCAACCGTGGTAGCGCGGGAAGACTAGCGGCAGTGGAAGCAGTAGCGGTAGGTCGGCGAAGGACGCCAACAAGAAGAAGTCGGCTAAGGAGAGCGGTCGTAGAAGAGGAATTCGATGTCGGGAGTGTTGCCTGTGCGGTGACCCCGACCATCTCTCCTTCAAGTACCCCGACCGCTGTGACTCGGACGACGACGACACCAAGGGCGTCGCCCTCGTCGAGAGAGCAAGCCGCGTAGTGAGAAGCGCTTAACAAGTCGTTGACCTCGGCGAAGGACGCTGACTCCTCTACAGACGGCAAAGGGCGAGACGACAAGGAGGCGTCGTGCTCGCTGGTCGGTGTCGTTCAGCCAACCGTCTCGCTAGCGCTGGAGGCCGGCGAAGATTTCCAGGCGGTGGCGGCAGTTGTGCAGGCGAACCTGGCGGCGGTCCTACTCGACAGCGGCTGTTTGCACCACCTGATGGGGACGAAGGACGCCTTTATCGACTTGGGGCCGAGCGGCAACGTCAAGCACCTGCACGACTTCATTGGGGCGCTGCAAGACATCAAGGGCCGAGGAACGGTTGCCTTGCAAGGGGAGGCCAAGAAGCCGGTGCTGATCTTGACGTCCTCTACGTCCCGGGTGTCCGGCCGAACCTGCTATCTGCTGGCCAGCTGAAGGAGAATGGCGTGAAGCTGCAGGAAGACGGGGACGGGATGCTCCTTGTTTCGGCAGCGGAGGACGTGCTTGGCAAGGCGATGTATACCGGCCAAGTCCTTTGCACTGACATGCGTCCCTTCTCGGCGACGTCCTCGACAAAGGTGGTGGCCTTGCCGGCGATCGTCCTAGTGACGAAGTCCACCCCGGACAGGCTGCATCCAAGGCTCGCACACATCAGCATGGACACCATCCGGAGCTCGGCAAAGCATGAGGTTGCCACTCGCTGGACCTCAAGTCGGCGTCCGGCGCCAACTTGCCGTGTGTCTCTTGCGTCGGTGGGAAGCTGGCACGGCACACCTTCCCCGTCAAGGGCTGCGACGCTGAGGACGTGCTGGCCGTCGTACACATCGATCTGTGTGGGCGGTTCCATATGGCTGCCAAGGAAGGCAGCTTGTACTTCTTGCTGCTGAAGGACTACAAGACCCGCTACATGTGGGTGAGGCCTATCGCCAAGAAGTCGGACGTGATGTAGGAGTTCGTGCAATGGCTGGCGATGGTTGAGCGGCACGTGAAGAAGTCGGTGCTGATCTGCGCTCGGAACGGGGAGGAGAGTTCCTCGGGAAGCAGTTAACCGCCTTCGTGGACGGCAAGGGGATCGTCCACGACCTGACCTGCCTGTACACACCATAGCAGAACGGCATGGCGGAGTGGGAGATGAGGACGGTGGTGGCATCGGTGCGGACGATGCTGCTGCACATAGGCGTGCAGCACCACTGGTGGCACCTTGCTCTGCGGCAGGCCGTCTGGGTCCGCAACTGCCTTGAGAGGTCGGCGCTACCGCCCGGGACGACGCCGTACCAGCTGCTGACTAGGAAGAAGCCTGACTTGACGCTGGCACACGTGTTGGGCTACATGGTGCAATTCCTTGTCCCCGAGCAGCAGCGTGGTGGGAAGCTGAAGCCAAAGGCCCGGTGGGGCCTTCACCTCGGCGTGTCAGAGGAGAGCAAGGGCTGGGACCTCCTTGACATTGCCGACAACAGGGTGGTCACCACGTCGGACGTGGTGTTCTACGAGACCATGTCGTTGGAGGTGTGGAAGTCGGAGCATGGGCCACCGTCGGGGCGGACGCATGCCAACCCGCCGGCGGACACCTCGACAGCGACACTCCCTCTTCTCGCCGAGGTCGGTGAGATTGCTGCTGAGGACGGTGAGGGTGTCCACCTTGAGTCCGCAACTGCCTTGAGAGGTCAGCGTTGCCGCCGGGGACGACGCCGTACCAGCTGCTGACCGAGAAGAAGCCCAACTTGTCGCTGGCACGCGTGTTGGGCTGCATGGCGCAGTTCCTGGTCCTCGAGCAGCAGCGCGGCAGAAAGCTGCAACCGAAGGTCCGATGGGGTCTTCATCTTGGAGTATCGGAGGAAAGCAAGGGCTGGGAGCTCCTTGGCATTGCGGACAACTGGATGGTCACCACGTCGGACGTGGTATTCTACGAAACCATGTCCCTGGAGGTGTGGAAGGCGGAGCATGGGCCAGCGTCGGGGTGAACGCTGGTCAACCCGCCAATGGACACCTCGACGACGACGCTCCCTCTACTTGCCGAGGTCGGTAAGATAGCTGCTGAGGACGCTGAGGGTGTCCACCTTCCCTCCCTTGTGTCGTCCCCACCCCTTGTCGCCGACCTACGTGGCCTGACTCCGGTGTCGGCCTATGGTGATGAGGGGAGAATTGGGGCGTCGCTTGTGGCGCCGGCCAAAAGCATCACCAATGGCCGACGTAACGCTGCGAAAATCAATGTGGGAGCAAAGCTGACGCCGCCCAGGGAGCAGCAGGCCGAGGAGATGCAGCCGACTTCGGTGAAGCGGGCGAAGGAGGCATCGCCAAGGCGGCAATTAACACGGGAGCAGGCAGCGGCAAAGCCGACCAAGAAGAAGTCGGTGACCGGGCAGTCGGCAGGGGAGCCGACCACAAGGGAGAAATCGGCAGGGAAGCCGACCGAGGTGCAGGAGGACGACAAGGGCAGCGAAGCCGGTGACAATGGAGGGGAGCGGTCGGGCACTGAGGAGTCCACTAAAAGCGACGTGGTGGAAGTCCAAATTGGACCACGATGTACATGCCGAATTCGGAGGCTGCCCGATTTCTTCGTACCGGCCGCCTTCACCACGGTGTACGACGAGGTCGACGACGTCCTGCTGTACGACGACACCGAGGAGGATGAAGAGCTGCTGGAGCTTGACCCCGACATGCACGTCGACCCTGAGCACTGCTGGGACATCTCCACGATGACGGTGAAGGAGGCATTGGCGAGCTGGAAGGGCAAGGCGGTGAAGGCTGCCATGGAGGAAGAAATCTGCAGCCTCATCGGCATGGGAACCTGGGAGCTGGTCAAGCACTCATCTGGAGTGAACATCATGAAGAACCGGTGGGTGCTGACGATAAAGTACTACATCGACAAAACCGTCAAGCAAGAGAAGGCAAGGCTGGTTGTGAAGGGCTTCACGCAGGTGTATGGCGCTGACTATGACAAGACGTACGTGCTGGTGAGCAGCTACGTCACGCTGAGGATCTTCCTCAGCATTGTCGCCTTCCTGCAGAGCAAGCTCGACCGGGTGTTGTACATGTACAAGCTGGACTACTTCAACGACGGGACTGGCTGGGTGTGCAAGCTGCTGAAGAGCCTCTACGGGCTGAAGCACTCGCCGCTGCTGTGGTACAGGGCTCACGACGGTGTGTTGGTGGGCGCTAGCTGGAAGAAGAGCCAGGTCGACTCGGAGCTCTACTTCAAGGTGGGCGGGGATGGCGTGGCCTGCTGGGTGCTGGTCTACGTCGACGACCTGCTTGCCGCCAGCAGCAGTGCAGCGATGCTGAAGGAGCTGAAAGAGTTGCTGGAGGCTGCCTTCGAGCTGCGGGAGATCTCGCCGGTGCAGAAGTACCTCGGGCTTGAGATCGTGCACGACACGCCAGCAAGGAAGCTGTAGCTGCACCAGCAGTGCTACGCCCATAATTTGCATAGGCGGTTCCTCGACAAGAAGCTAACCAGACGAAGCCGGAGACGCCGGTCTTGGTCAACGCCTACGCCAAGCTCACCTTCGACGACAAGGAGGCGCAGGACTGCCAGGGTACGTAGCGGCAACCGAAGTCGGGAAGGAGGGACGTCGCCTCCGCTTCCTTCTTGCAGAGTTCTGGCAACTAGACGCCAGGACGCCAATTGTCCTTCAGGTGGACAACAAGTCGGCCGTCACGGTCGCCGAGGACATGGGGTTGACGCGCAACCTCAAGCACATGGAGCGGCGACAAGCCTGGCTGCAACACATGGTGAAGCGTGGGAAGTTGTCACGGAAGTACATCCCGGCCGCTGAGCAGCCAGCCGACTTCCTAACGTAGGCACTACACTATCCGGCCTTCAACCGGTACTCCGTCGCAATCCGCCAAGTGCGCCTGGCCAGCGTGGGCGGCGGCAACGACGGTGTGTAGCAGTAGGTGCCCTTTTGCATGGCTGATGCGGTGATTGGCGTGCTGTGTGTTGGGCGCATGTCGACGAGCTGTTCTCCAAATGGGGCTGCCATGTGGGCTGGGGGATCCCAAGCGTGAACGCGGCAGGGGAGTGTCAATGGGAGTTGTGGTTGGCCTCATCCTTGCTTGGGCGGAGCTGACCTCGTGGTCGGGTGTGCGGGAGGTGCAGCCGACCTGCACCAGTGGGTGACTCGGACTTGGGCGTGCTGGACGACAGGTGTGGTCGACCTACTCGAGGCCATTGCCATACCGCCGATGATGGGGAGTCGGCGGTCGATGAGTCCCAATGGTCAACGAGGGTGGATGCTGACTTTGGGAGGCGCCGACGTCAACCTGGATAGAGGACCTGGATGGCGTCGGGTGAGGGCGCCGAGTTCACGAGGTCGAATGGAGGTGAACGTCGACTTGGGTGGTCGACGAACAAGTGAAGGAGGTGCTGGTAGACGAGGTGGTTGCCTGGTCGACCAGGTTACCCGGGCGACGGGTTTTGCGGAGGCACGCGTCAGTCGCCCTGGTGTTAGTGGCGAGGCCGACCTCGATGTGGTATCCCGAGGTTGATGTAGCCAATCAGGAGCAGTCGTCAGCACGATGACGATTTGGTGTGTGCGCAGGCAACAAGAGACAGCCCGCCAATCATCTACGAGCACCTGCGAATTGGGTGCGCTGCTGTCCTGCGGATGCAACGCTGTGCAGCCAACTTGCTGCAGCGTTGGCATGTCGTCGACTTGCAGTGTTGGCTGTCAGGCATATATGCTAAAAATCTGTGTAGGCTGTAGTGGGGCAGTTCATATGGGGTACAACACTTTAGGGTTCACCACTTGTACTCCTCATTTTGCTCAATGCATTCATTCTCGTTTCTCATCATGGTATCGAGCAGGTTTCCTAGTGGGAACGGGCCCACCACGATACTTTTTTTTTTTTCCTGCCCGGAGCGCGCTTCACTCCTGCCCGAGTCGCGCTCTGTGTGCCCTCCCTACCTTCGAGCCGCCCTTAGTGGCCCCTCTCACGGCCCCTTTGGCCGCCCTTACGGCACCTCGCGCCGCCCTTACGGCCCCTCGCGCCGCCCTCTACGGCCCCTCGCGCCGCCCTTACGGCCCCTTACGGCCCCTTAAGGCCCCTCGCGTCGCCCTTACGGCCCTCGCGCGGCCCCTTTCGGCCCCTCGCGACGCCCTTTCCGGCCCCTTACAGCCCCGTCTAGGCCCCTTACGGCCCCTCCGCGGCCCCGTCTAGGCCCCTTGCGGCCCCGCTACGGCCCCGTCTAGGCCCCTTACGGCCCCTCCGCGGCCCCGTCTAGGCCTCTTGCGGCCCCGCTACGGCCCTGTCTAGGCCCCTTACAGCCCCTCCGCGACCCCGTCTAGGCTCCTTGCGGCCCCGCTACGGCCCTGTCTAGGCCCCTTACGGCCCCTCCGCGGCCCCGTCGAGGCCCCTTGCGGCCCCGCTACGGCCCAGTCTCGGCCCCTTACAGCCCCTCCGCGGCCCCGTCTAGGCCCCTTGCGGCCCCGTCACCGCCACGTGCGGCCCCGTCGCCGCCACCTGCGGCCACGCAGCCACCACCAGCGGCCTCGCCGCCACATACGGCCCCGTCACCGTCACCTGCGGCCCCGTCGCCCTCCCCTAGCGGCCGTGTCACCGCTCAGCCGCCCAGCGACCGAGCCGCCGAGCAGCCCAGCAGCCGAGCCGCCCTACCGCCGAGCCGCCCAGCAGCCGAGCCGCCCAGCAGCCGAGCCGCCCTGCCGCCAAGCCGCCAAGCCGCCGAGCCGCCCAGCAGCCGAGCCGCCCTGCCGCCGAGCCGCCCTACTGTCGAGCCGCTGCTGTTCCTACCGGTACTCCCCGGCCCTCCTTCCTCGGACTGGTGAGCTCACTTCCTGCTAGGCCACTACAGTCATGGCTACCCCCAGTGTCCTTACTTTTGATGCTGAGGGCCGTGCCGTTGACTTGGAGGTCTGGGTCGATGACCTCCAGCTGTTTCTCCAGTGCAATAGGGCATACGGACTCTCTCTGCTCGATCTCACCTCTGGTGTCACTCCTCCCCCGCTTGCCACTGCTAACACCACTGTTCGCTCACAGTGGGCCACACGCGATGCTGATGCTCACCTTGCTGTGCGTCGCCACTTACCGACCACTTACGTGCACACTTTAGCCAGTACAAGAGTGCTCAGACCTTGTACAACGCTGTAGTTGCACGCTACTCTTCCCCTGCCACTGCTACACTGAGCCGCCTCATGCTACCGTACCTCTTCCCTGACCTTGCTGCTTTTCCCACAGTCGGTGACCTCATTACGCACCTCCGCACTAGTGACACTCGCTACCGCGCTGCGCTTCCTTCTGAGTTCTGCGCCAAGAACCCCCCCCCCCATATACATCACCCTCTACTACATAGTCACCCGGCTCCCTGACTCTCTTCGCATAGTTAGGAACCACTTCCTGTCAGTTTGCCCCACCACTCTCACCGTTGGCCTCCTCGAGAAGGGCCTCCTAGCAGCAAAGAAGAGCATAGTCGCTGTAGGAGCCTCTCGTGGTGACCCTCGCACCCGCGTCTTTGAGGGGTGTTCCCCCTCCCCCCTCTTGCCCTCTGCTGCTGCGGCCGACCTCGTTGGCTTCGAGTCAGTCGGCGCTGCGTCTGCCCCTAGTAGGAGACGCCGCACCGGCAAGGGCAAGGGGGGCAAGGGCGCTGGAGGGGCTGGCGGGGGCGGTGGAGGTGGTGGTGGAGGCAGTGGAGGGGGTGGGGGTGGTGGTGGGAGTGGTGGCGGGGGTGGAGGTGTCAATGGCAGCAGTGGAGGCGGAGGAGGCGGCGGCGGAGGCGGAGGGAGCGGAGGCGGCGGAGGTGGTGGGGGCGGCGGAGGCAGCGGAGGTGGGGGAGGCGGCGGCGGCAGCAGTGGACCTGGTCGCAGCTCAGCACAGAGGAGTGGCTCCAGTGGAGGTACGCGCCAGCAGCAGCAGCGCAGTCGTAAGACCCTGTCCCCTAAGCAGCTTCGTGAGTGGTACGCTGCGCGTCAACACGGTGGGGGTACGGGTCCCTGCACCTAGGTTCTCTGCACCAGCAACCGCGATGGTGAGCAGTGCGGGGGCCCGCACTCCACCCAGCGCTGCTTCGGCCGCCTGACGGACGCGTGGCGTCACCAGTTCCCTGAGGCCTCTGAGATCCCTCGCTGGGGAGAGCTGTCTAGGGCGGGGGTTGCTATCTTTGATCTTGACTTTGATGCTATTCTTGCTGCCATGTATGCTGTTGCTGATAGTGTTGAGGGTGACTGTTACCTGTGTGTTCCGCCTGACCCGAGAATTGAGACTGCTGCTCTAGGTGCTGGTGAGACTGCTGCTCTAGGTGCTAGTGCTCTCCTTCTTTCGAGACCGCACCACACTTACGCCGCTTAGTCGGCCGGTTGCGGTCTCCCTTGTGGACCCCTTTGGGGGTCCTGTCCTTGCTCGTTTCTCCACTGTCTTACCGTGTCCGGCAGCCCCCTTTGGCACCTTGTCAGGTCTCTACCTCCCCTTGTTCTCTACGAACTTGGTGAGTGGCGCTAATCTACAGGATAGGGGGGTTGACCAGTTCACTCATGCGAGTCACCGGGTGACCCACTGCACGTGTGCTCGGACAGGCAGACACTTGGCCACGTTCACCCGTCGGCCGGGGTCGAGCCTGTACACCCTGACTACTGAGTCTCCTCCGGTTGTTGAGCCTGGTCAGGTCGCTGCGTCGAGTCAGGTGTTTGCTGCAGCGTCCAAGTCTAGTCTTGAGTCTGCTCCCTGGTCGTGTCGTCTCCTGTCTCACCAGACTCTCCTTTGGCACCACTGCCTTGGTCACCCCTCCCTGCCTCGTCTGCTAGGTATGGCCTCCCGTGTCCTTGTCTCTGGTCTCCCCCGGTCTCTCTCTCCTCTACCTTCAGGGCCTGCCCCTACCTGCGTCCCCTGCGTTAAGGGGCGACAGCGCGCCGCCCCTCACTCCTCCGAGTTTCCTCCGACAGAGGCTCCGTTGCAGACTCTTCACATGGACTTGTGGGGCCCCGCCCGCGTCCGTGGCTAGGGTCACGAGCGTTACTTCCTGTTGGTGGTTGACGACTACTCGCGTTACACCACGGTCTTCCCCTTGCGCAGCAAGGGTAATGTCACTAAGGTGTTGATCGACTAGATCCGCGCAGCTCGTCTCCAGCTCAAAGAGAGTTTCGGCTCCGACTTTCCTGTTCCGCGTCTGCAATCTGACAAAGGCGAGGAGTTTTCCTCTGCCTGTCAGTGAGCCTGCTGTCGTGCACACGGCATCCGCCAGACCTTCACGCTTCCGGCCTCTCCACAGCAAAATGGGATTGCTGAGCGCCGCATTGGCATGGTCATGGACGTCGCTCGTACGTCCATGATTCATGCGGTTGCCCCCCATTTCGGTGGCTGTTTACGGCTCAGTACGCGGCGCATCAGCTCAACCTTCACCCCAGGGTCTCCTTGCCAGAGAACTCCCCCACCTTGCAGTGGACGAGGAAGGTTGGCGATGCGTCTGCGTTTCGTGTCTGGGGATCTCGGGCGTTTGTCCGCGACTTGTCTGCGGACAAGCTGTCCCCCCGTGTTGTTCCCTGCGTCTTCCTTGGCTTCCCCCTTGACGCGCATGGTTGGCAATTTTACCACCCCACCTCGCGCCGTATTCTGTCCTCCCGGGACGTCACCTTTGACGAGTCGGTGCCTTACTACCGTCTCTTCCCCTACCGCGCCGCGCCCCTTCCCCCACCGCCGCTCTTCCTTGCACCAGGTCCTCCCCCGGTTGACCCCCTCCCCCCTCAGGGTCCTGCCCCGTCAGGTGTGTCCCAGGTAGACGCAGTCGAGCCTGTCAAGGTAGCTGTTGACTCCACTGCTGCTAGAGGTGCTGAGCCTGCGGGTGCCAGTTCTGGGGGTGCTGAGCTTGGGGGTGCTGAGACTGGGGGTGATGAGTCTGGGGGTGCTGAGCCTGGAGGTGCTGACCCTGGGGGTGTGGAGCCTGGGGGTGCGGAGCCTGAGGGTGCGGAGCCCGGGGGCACTGGGTCTGCTCGTGTGGCCGGCGGCGGTGCTTCGTCGAGGCGGGAGCCACTCTCTCCACAGGAGCTGCGCGAGTGGTTTTGGAGGCGCTGCGCGATCGCGGCCGTACTTCGTTCCGCTCCTTAAGCAGGTTCTTAGTCTCCCGCCTTCTACTGGTCCTGCTCCTCCCTTAGAGTGTCCACAGCCTGTCCAGTCATAGTTAAAGCCCGCCTCCCCTCTACCTGCTTCTTCTCCCTACACTGGTCCTACTGGATGTCTTGCTCAGCGTCGTGAGCGTGCGTCTCGTCCTGCGTCGCCTGTTCGCACTGCTCGTACTAGTCGTCGTGTTCCGCGTCCGCGTCCTCCTACGGTTCCGGGCACACACCAGATGGCACTGCGTCCTTCCACTGCTCCTCTGCGTGTCCCGTTGCCGTTTCCTCCAGAGTCCTCTCTTTTTGTCCTTCGTGACCCTGAGTCTGACTCTCTTCGTGCTGCCAGTCCTACTGTCACGCGTCTCCTGGCCACTATTGTCACTGACCCTTCCTTTGAGTCCACTACTGCGTCTGCCTTAGTGGTTGAGCTTCTCGACTTCGCTGCTCCCTGTCGTCTAGACTACGCCACTGGTCTTGTTGCTGAGTCCGAGTCTGTCTGTCCTCCGTCCATCGGGGGTGGGTGTGCTCGTAGCATGGACGTCCTTGAGGACAGGTAGGAGGAGTTCCAGTGTTTTGCTGCTGCTTTGCCTCATCTCGTGTTCACGTTGATTGCCCTTGAGGGAGACCCGGATGCACCAGACATCCCGACTCCTCGATCGTATGCTGAGGCGATGGAGGGTCCCTACTCCTCTCAGTGGCAGTCAGCCATGGACGGAGAGATGGCTTCCTAGAAGTCCACAGGCACCTATGTCGACGAGGTTCCCCCACTCGGAGCGAACATCGTCAGTGGCATGTGGATTTTCAGGGTGAAGTGGCCGCCGGGTTCTCCGCTTGTCTTCAAGGCGCGTTACGTGGCTCGAGGCTTCAGTCAGCGGCAGGGAGTTGACTACTTTCAGACCTTCTCTCCCACCCCGAAGATGACCACTCTTCGGGTGCTGCTGCACATAGCCGCTCAGCGTGACTACGAGCTTCACTCTCTTGACTTCAGCACTGCTTTCCTGCAGGGCAGCCTGCACGAGGAGATCTGGCTGCGCCGCCCACCTGGCTTCACTGGGTCGTTTCCTCTTGGTACAAAGTGGAGCCTCCGGCGGCCAGTCTACGGTCTCCGCCAGGCGCCCCGTGAGTGGCACGACACACTAAGGGCTACACTTGCGGCTCTTGGGTTTGCTCCTTCTACAGCCGACCTGTCGTTGTTTCTGCGCACAGACACCTCTTTGCTGCCGTTCTACATCCTCGTGTACGTCGACGACTTGGTCTTTACCACTGCTGACACTGCTGGACTTGCCCACCAGAAGTCCGAGCTGCAGAAGAGACACACGTGCACAGACCTGGGTGAACTGCCCAGCTACCTTGGCTTGCAGATCACCTGGGACAGAGCACAGCGCACCATTACCCTGAGTCAGTCACACATGGTGCAGCAGGTCCTTCAGCGCTTCGACTTCACGTACTCCTCGCCTCAGGCCACTCCTCCGTCTACCCGCCACTCGCTTCCAGCTCTGCCTTTGGATGAGTCCGTAGAGCCGAGTGGCCCGTACCCAGAGCTTGTTGGCTGCCTCATGTACCTGATGACCTGCACACGACCTGACCTAGCATACCCTCTTAGCATCTTGGCATGCTATGTTGCTCCTGGGAGACACCGACCAGAGCACATGGCTGCAGCGAAGAGGGTGTTGCGCTACTTGTGAAGTACGTCAGGCATGGGGCTAGTGCTTGGAGGGCGACGTCGAGTGGTCCTCACAGGTCACGCAAACGCTTCTTGGGCTGACAACAAGGCTACGCAGCGGTCGTCATAGGGTTACACCTTCAGCCTTGGCTCCGGCTCTGTTTCGTGGCGGTCTACCCGCTCGTCTTATGTTCTCGGCTCCAGTTGTGAGGCTGAGATCTACGCGGGGGCCATGGCTGCACAGAAGCTACTCTGGCTCACCTACCTGCTGACTGACCTAGGAGAGCCGCCTCATTCTCCTCTAGTTCTGTACGTAGACAACAAGGCCATGTTGGCCTTGTGTCGGGAGCACAGACTGGAGCACAGAACGAAGCACATTGCTCTTCGCTACTTCCTTGCTCGTGAGCTGCAGCAGCGTGGTCAGGTGCACCTTGCTTACGTGGCCTTTGAGGCCAACACTGCTCATATCTTTACCAAGGCACTTCCGCCTTGTGATCATCAACGCTTCTGTACGATGCTAGGTCTTGTGCCTACTTGGCCTCACTTGTCACTTATTGACCTTGCTTGTACTGTGATCTTTCTATAGTTGCACTTGCTTGTTTACCTTTATATATGATCTTGCATGTGAACTGGCCTTTTGGCCTTGCTCTTGTGCTCGGACTGTGTGGTGACGTTGTGATCCACCCTGAGCTTGCCTTGCTTTGCTTGACTGGTCTTGTGACCCCTTGTTCTCCCCCACTTTGCCTATCGGGGTGTGTCAGGCATACATGCTATGGTCCGTGTAGGCTGTAGTGGGGCAGTTCATAGGGGGTACAACACTTTAGGGTTTACCACTTGTACTCCTCATTCTGCTCAATGCATTCATTCTCGTTTCTCATCATTGGCGGGCCGCGACTTTGCAGTGTTGGAGCGCGGTCAACCATGTTGTGCTGGATCGCGGTCGACCATGTTGCGCTGGCAGTCGTCCTGCTTGGATGCTAGATTTGATGTAGTTAGTCTTGCCAACTTTGTTGCTATCATTCTGGACCATTGTTGTCATGTTTTTCCTGGTGAAACTCTTGCCAATTCTCCCCGTCAACTAGCAAGTAGTGTGAACACTTGGAAACGACGAAGGAACGAACGAACGCAGAGATCACTCCCACCTCGTGCCTAGCTCGTATTTTAGCTCCCCTTGATTGAGTTATCTCTGCAGCACTCGGTTCTTGCGACTGGTGAATCTGACAATAAGCGCTCTCAAT